TAATTTTGTGTTTGTTTTTGAAGGCGACAATGAAAATCATGATTTCAATGACGACTACAACGACTAAAAAAATATTGTAGTTTTTTTATCTTTTTTTTTTTTTTATCTTTAAACAGCAACCACAAGAATGGCAAAAAAACAACATCGTTTGGTTAGTGCATGTAGGCTAAAATGAAAACATCATATTCAAGGTCGCCTGCAAATGCAAACACAAAATTACATACATACATATATGTGCATACATATGCAAGTATGAATGGTTGGTCGATCGATGGATTTACTTCATCAATGCCTGATTTGAAAGCAATGAAAAGCCATATGTTAACTATGGACTTTAATCGTTGTACACTTTTTTTTTTTTTTTTAAATTGTTTTTTTAATGATCTAAATAAATATTACACTCATGCATATATGGAAAATCCTGTAGCCATTAGCGCAATAAACGCTACTTCCGCTATGACGGCTTTAAATAAATGCATTTCGTTATACAAACTTAGCGAGAGAATAATGCACTGCTTGGTCTTTAATGCTCATCAACGATCACACATACAAATTACGAAATATTTCTCTTCTGGCAAATTACTTTTTTTCTTTCTTTTTTTTTTTTTCTACAGAGCCGATCGGCATAGCTTTTACAATCATTTGTGATTTAACATGAATGTGTGAATTATTTGTACAATATCTTATTTAAGGGTCTGAGAATAATTTCGAAATCAATTAGCGAAGATATTTACCAATGCTATACTGAATACTGAAGGAGGAATTTGGAGGATAAAGAAAATTTCAAATGTTTTGGTTAATGCTTGGATGGATTTTGTAGGAAAATGTCTATAATAAATGATTTGAAAAAAAAGTGAACTAAGAGTTTGTTCGATAACATCTTCTAATGTAAGTCTCTGAAGTTGAATGTGTTTATGGCAGTCGACTATGGAAAAATTACTTCTTGAAAAGTAGGCATCAAGTTTTAGTTTCCTATTCCCGCTCAACTTTTGACAGTTTCTAACACCGTTACCTTGGCTGCCACGAGGAAAAATGCTCTTCCGTTTTCTTAAAACTGCGCATAGGCGAGCTTTAATTCTTTCGATTTGTTGTACCTTCCGCATTCCAAACCCAACTATATTCAGAGTACAACTTAGTTCCGTCCAATCCGATCGAAAAGATTGCAGTTAGTACTGTTAGGCTTCATGATATTCTTCTGCTTTCTTGAACCTTCATATTGGAGAGTTTTAAATTCTTTCAATTTGTTGCACATTCCAAGTGTTAAGAGTACAAATTAGTTCGGTCCGGCTAGGTGGAAAAGATTGTAATTTATGTAGTTAGGTTATAGAATAAAATTGTGACTTCTTCATTTGAAAGTATGGTCTGTCTTTAAGCAATACGCACTTATATAACTTATTGCATTGAAGTGTGCACAACGTTGTTTCTTAGGGCTTTAAATAGATCGAGTTTTGTGCCAGAAACAATTTACTTCTTCTGATTGATTCAAAGAATAGTTCGGCATCTCCTACAAATAACCATTAAAGAGACTCTGCGGACGAATAAAATCGACGATAAGGTTGAATATTCTTCATGACCACATGGGAGAGGGTCAGCTGGGTGTGGTGTTTTAAAGTTTGTTCCAACCTACGTCCCAAAAAGAGAGCTTAATATATATCAAAAGTCATGATATCGTGAGTTTCAGTCCTACCCTTCCTGCTATTGCCAGCAGATGTCATTCTTATTGATTAACAAAGGTTTCAATAGATGACTTATTGTTTATTCGAACAGGGCTGCGAGTCTTATGACGATACCCGATACGTCTTTTAAGCTAGAATAGCAAAATTGCCTGAAAGATAGGGAAAAGTCATAGCTAATGATGAAAATTACTTCAAAATAAAATACTTTTTTACCAATTTCTCTGAATAAAGCTTCAAAATTGCAAAGACAATCCTTAAAAAACTCATTTGTATGCACAGTGTAAACGAAAGCTTTACTGACTATTTCATCGAGTTACGTTGAGGTCTTTGTAGAACTCTATAGATGGTACGTGTCTTTGCTAATTAAATACAAATTTGTTTTTACACCCTAATTTTATTCAAGGTTAAAATTCACCATAGATCGCAAGAGAAGACTCTTTTCCTCTTTCCTTAGAGAAGACTTTTTTCAATTTTTTACCAAAGTATAACATGATTCGAAAAAGTGATTTTAGTAAGTTTTCAATAAAGAAGGAACTTTTCTCAAATTTAACCTCTTGCTAGTGAGAAATATTTGACGTATAGATGTCCATCGCAGTGCTACCAGTGTAGAAAAGAAATATATCTGATATTGGATATACCTGCGCAATATAACTTGAATATTGATCTTACTTTTTGATCAAAGTGTTATATATATGCGATTTTCTGTGCATTGAAATGCGAGTAACAAATCAAGTACACAATTATCATTTTGTTTAGGTGATAATGTAATTTTCCGCAGAAATTTTCTAAAATTTTGTTTTAATTTTACGCGAAATATAAAATCATTCACTAAAGTAACAATAAAAAAAAAAAACGTTCATTCTATTTATAAAATATTCTAAATTTATTTCAATTGAAAATTTATTGTTATTTTATTATTATTATATAAAAATGTTTCTTTCTTTTCGTTCAGAATTTCTAAATATATTTTTATGGCAACACAACATATATAATATATATAGTGATTTTCTCGAGGGTAAAAGAAAAATTGGAAAATATGCGTCAAAGATTCTCATAAATTATATAAATTGTTGATCAATGTGATTTATTTCATTTACCTATCGCCCCAGTTGCCATATTCAAGTTTTTTTATTGGCTTTTGCGTGCTGTTATAAGGAACTTTAACTTAACTTCATATTTGTGAGTAAGTTATAGAGCTGAGGACAAGGACCGGTTTGCAAAATTTTCTATACCAATAGCATTGTTTTCACTTCGAATATGTTCTGAAAAAAATTTGGATCTATTTGTCATTGCGACGAAGTGTTTTCAGAAAATTTTTGAAGAGAGATTCACTTCTACTCGCGCAAGACTCTCGCGTAGAACATTGTATGTACCCGTTACAGGATACGTTTGAGTGGCGACCAATTCCGATGTTTTACGCTTGCTTCTGAGACTACCAAGCACATCCACGTGCCCTCTTCCTGCTCTCTCTCTAATCTATGTTGCCTTCGGTTAACCCAGAAGACTAGATTTTCTTACCAAAATTTACTGTGCGTTTTTTATGGTTGGTAATGCGACGTTCATTTCATTTAATCAATTTTGTTACTTTCTCATGAGCGCATCTATCTCTAACCAAACGCTAAATTCTTATTGCTATCCGGTAGCAGTAATGCGGCAAAAATTCGTTGTTGTAAGCATGGGTTAAGGCTTGCATTACTAGAGTACAAGCTCAGATGTGCTACTATTACTACTAAAGGCAACTCTCTGGCACATCTCAAATACTGACTCACATATCTTAAATGATGACTTTCCACCCGACTTTATTTCATAATTCATTTACTTATTTATTATTATTTTCTTTAATCTTTAGTTAATAACGTCTATATCCATGGGCAAGATAATGATCGATGACGAATGACGAAAGGCAAAAGGGAAGGGACTGTACTTCATAATTAACTGATTTGGATAATTGAAGTTGTATTGATATGTATCAAAAGATTGGTTAAAAAAAAAATGCAGGAGAGGAACTGAACGCGTTGAGTGAGCATCTACCTAATACGAAATTCTGGGTCAATTTACTTATATCCGTTCGACTTTTTTGCTTCCAGCGTTGAAATTCGCAAAGTTATATAAATTTAAATATGAAAATGAAGACCGGATGAAAACTGTGCGAAAGTGTATAGAGCAACTCTAATGAAAATCTATGCGATTTTCATGCGCTTCAATATTCAGTACGAAGGACCAATTTTCATTATAAAATATTAAAAATTAAACGTTTTTCTGGAGGGGTTATTATTTATGAGAAATCTTATACGGAGTGGAGTTCAACAAATAGATCTATCTATCCCTAGATCATATTTGGTTCACTTAATTTCTATGTCAACTTTTCATCACAAAACAATTACGATTTTTTGACATACAAATATTAATCTTTATATATCATATGTAAATATAAATCTATATGTCTTGAGCGGTGGTATGCAAAAAATAGACCTACGTGATCCAAATTCGGCAAGGGTGATTTGTATGTCAATGAACCTATTAAGAACCTATTTTTGTCATGAAATATCAAAAATTTTTATTATACAAAAACTCGGTCTTCGTAGACACGTTTATATGAGAGGGAACTCAAGAAGTCGTCCAAGGACAACCGAATTTTTTCTTTCAATTTAGTATGGTCAGGTACTAGTATAGAAGAAATTTTGTCGGAAAATTTTTAAAATTGCAATAAGACATTATACGGTGAGTGATCGACAAAGTGGACGGATCGGAATGATTTTCAGCAAAGTTTATTCCTGGTCCAAAACACGTTAATACACCAAATTTCATCAAAATTTTCATCAAAAAAATTGTGACTTAGATCGATTCAGAAAAGGATGTGGCATCAATTGGTGAGTATATCTTAAGCCGCTCCGAATGTTGCGTACTTCCGTGTAAACTTAATATACCTTGTATCACAAGTGTTGTAAGATATAAAAAAATCTATTGATCTTCGGGTATGAAAAAATTCATATGTGAATTTAGAACTTGTTACATACGTTGTAATCTGAAGAATAACATCTCAGATTAATGATATTTGTGAAAATGGATGTGACGTGCCCATAACAAGAAACATAAGACACAAAAAAGATGGGAACTTGAAACGTCTTGCAAGTATTGATCTAAACGTCAAACATGTGCAACCACAGTGTGATAAGTCAAATCAGAAGTGGGTTGGAGTGACAAACTGACAACAACAAACAACATACTCTTCGCTTTGCATATTCTTTTGCTTGTACAGATCGCAGATCCTCGAGAGATTTGGAGTCGGTTGTGTCATGTTCGAACTGTGGTTCATCATTTTCGATTTTTGTTGTCACTAATTTACCTAAAGATCGCGGCAATAAAAATCGAAACAGAAGAAGACTTTTTTTTTCAGCCTAACTTCTGCTTACTAATAAATTATTTAAGCGTATTAACGATTCACACTGAGGCAAATAAACATTTCTTACTCCTTTAGTTCGAATTGCGTGAAAAATATATCAATAGGCATTATGTGACCTGAAAACTGTTGAATTATTATTATGCTCTTAATACTAGTTTTAAACATTTTGTTAATCGATTTATTATTATTAAGCTTTCATAGATTTTTCTTAATTACGTTAAACAATTGTGATATGAATTTTAATTAAATCACTTAACTAACTAACTAACAACTAAGAAATAAAGCCTGAAATGAATACTAAAGTAAGTCGCAAATACTAGTAAATATTTTTTTAAATATGTTTTTCAAATATTTTATGCTTAAAAAAAAAATCATAAGAAAGCTGATATTTATAAAACAAAAATACAAAAAAAAAAAAAAAAAAAAAATTATCTTTCAATTACGTCGTTTTAAGAGTAATTCCTTTACAAGTATGTGCACGAGTAAACTTTAAAGACTAAAACAAAAAAAAAAAAACACTTCTATTTATGTGTAGACTGAAACGAATCATGATATATGCAGATATTTGCATTTGATACCTGCACTCGAATGTTCGTCATGCAATATTATGTGCAGGTTTTCTCTTTTTTGCACATTTTTATATAAGAGTTATATTAAGCTAATGCAATGTTTGCGACCTAATATTAATAAGAAAATAAAATCGTTCAAATCGTTTATCATAAATAAATTTTAATGTTTTATTTTCCCATAAACATATTTAGTCCGAATGCAAAGCTAGACTCTTTGTGGTAGCCAGCAGGGAGAAGCGGTGAAAAGTTCGCTGCTACAAGCAAGGCGACGCTTTACTAAAAGTACAGGCTGCGTTATAGCCTTGGTAAAAACGCAGTGATATCTAGGCACGGGAAGGGCAGAAAATTTCGCAGTTACAAACATGGTGACGCACTATTAAAGTACAGGCTGAGATGTAGTCTAAAGATCAGATGTCGCCTAAGCGCTGGAAATTTCGCAGCTGTAAGCAAGGGGAGGCACTATAAAAAGTGCATGCTCAGATGTGGCCTTGGGTAAAAAAAACAGTGCTATCCAAGAGGGAATGGCCGTGAAATTTCGCTGCTACAAACATTGTGACGCACTATTAAAGTACAGGCTGAGATGTAGCTTAATGCTCAGATATCGCCTAAGTGCTGGAAAGCACTAGGCTGCTATAAGCAAGGGGACGCACTATAAAAAGTACAGGCTCAGATGTGGCCTTGTTAAAAAAAAAGATCTCTGACCGTTTTCAGTACTGAGTTACTTGTCTTGGATAATGATTTTTCACAGGAGAAGCATTCCAGAAGCGATGGAGGTCTATGTCATAACAATGATCGATAACTTTTCAGATAATCTTGAGTTGAGAGAGGGCGACTAAAAAAAAAGGATCATGTTTGTCCACATTTCCGTTAAAATCAAAATTATGATCTTAAAACCTTGTTGAGTCCTTTAGATTGATTTCTATTCTAAGCAGAGTATATTGCAAGTTCATCTAAATTTAACTTCTATTTATACTGCTACTGTCTACTGTATGACTTATGTTATAACTACTCCATTACTTTATCATGTTTACGTACGTATACTATACTACCTACGCTTGCTTTATCTATTACAATAAAAAGCTTGAAATAATGTTTTACTCCTATATAATGTTGTCATGCGTTTGAATTTAAAAATCGCCAAAAAAACAAACGCTGACAGTTTTTGAAAAAAACAAATTAAAAATGATAATAATTTTAATAGTCACTTACCCTCTATAAATCCTGTTGTAAGATATTTTATTAATAATAATCCGGAACCATTTTATTGGTAAATAAAGTTTTCACAAAGTTTCGGAAAATATTTATAAATTTCAAAGCAATATTTCTTATAAATTATGGTTTACAGTTAGTTTTCTTTGTTTTTCTTATTATGGAAATTATTGAGTGCTTTTCGCCCCACTTTTCAAATTTGATCTGACACCTTCGCACGTAGCGAATTTTTGTTTCCGAGCTGAACTTTTGCAATCGCGACATTTCCAGCAGACCAAAAATGGACGGATGGACTGACACATCATTTGACCCAAAATATTTGCATTGATCAAGAATAGGTGAACTTCATGAGCTCTCAGACACGAACGTAGAGCAGATCTGATGAATCCTTTATCCTTTCATAGTGGATACAATAATAAGAAAAAGCATATGATAGGGATATGAAAAATATTAAATTAAGGACAATTTTCAAAAAGTTTATTTTACTTACTAACAAACAGGTTTCTTAGCTGGCACTTTAAACCAAAGTTAAATTATTTACTCTTTATCAATATTTATTATTTCACTAATTGTCAGGTAAATTATTGTGAGCTTTACTTACTATGATTAAATTCTTTTTAACTGTTATAAGACCGGTTTTCTTATTTCA